TTATATCTTTATGTTTGAAGCCTGAAATGTGGCAAAAGGTTGAAAAGTTCAAGGGGGCCGAATACTTTCGCAAGGCACTGTACTTCTGAGTCACTTATTGAGTCACTTCTGTCTGCCCTTTTAAAGAGGTGAGGAGGCCAGATCTAACATTGTAAAGGTGGAACAGGTTTGAGATAGTATTGCTTTTATATGAGAAACGTATCTCATTTATATGAGAAAATGATTGAGTTTATACAAGAAAATTATTGCATTTAAATGCAATAGATAATTTGTGAACAATGATGCCTATTATATATATATAATACTGCATGTTGCATTATACTGTACTGTATATGCAACATGCAAAGTAGCATTGACTTTAACAACAGCAGAATAGCGTCACAATCCTCTTTTTGGGACAAAAATAATTGAACAAAATAAAAATCTTACAAACAATAACAGTTGGTATACAGTAAGTCCCACTAACAAGTCATCGTGAATTGACTCCGTCCAATGTTTAAAGAGTAGAGAAAAACCTATGTACCGTCACGTCAAGAAGAACATACGCTTGGAAAGCCATGTCATTTCCACTTGTCACAGAAACAGTGAAAACAATGTGTATAACCTGGGAATATTTACTGACACGGTGCTGTATTTCATGCACTGTACACAAAAGACTGAACACGTGCTCCTTTAGATTATTTATTTCCCAAAAAGAGGAGTATGATGATATTCTAGTGATGTTAAAGTCAACGCTACTTTGCACGGGACAATATTATTGCATATGAAGTAGAATGCAATATACAGTATTAATATAGTAAGCAGCATTGTTCACAAATTAACTATTTAAATTAAACACAATATTTTTCTCATTTCAATGCAATAATTTTCTTGCATACAAATATGCATATAAATGTAATGCTATCTCATGTAAACAAGATTTTTTTTTCTCTGTGGTGCTAATGAGCTTCCTTAGTATACAGCAGTGCTGGGGGATGGAGAAGTTTGAGGAAGATGCACCAAACATACTGTACTGTAGTGTTTTCTTAACAGCAATGGCAGAAGTAAAAGTTAAGTAATTGGAAGAAGCAGGACAGGTGAAAAGTCCTGAACAAATGTTCTAACCATAATGTCATATCATTATAAAAAGGTATTTATTCAGGTTAAATGCTACGTCTATAAGATCAGCTAATTGTCTCCAGAATACACAGGACAAGCACAATTCGAGGCACAATTCCACTTTGTACCAAGATTGGACATTCTAAGATCTACTCTTAATCTTTTCTGATGACATTTAAGCCTGTCTCTCAGCATTTAAAGGATGTTGCCCTTCTCTGTCAGGATAAGCCCCTTCTTTGACATTTCTGTGATGTCCTTGGAACTCTCTTGGTAATGAAATGTCTAAATCCTCATTTGCAAAGTGCAAACTGGTTTTTAAGAGGAGATTAATTTTCTGCAGCTGGAATGATATGAATGCTACTGTGTACACATGAGAGGACTATTTTTTCCCTTCTTTTGCATGACACAATACAAGAAACATAAATCCCTCCAGGAAAAGGTTCAATAAACATTAGTCATGAACTATGGAAGTGGATTAGAGAGGGAAATGAAATACCATGAATCTTCGGACAAAGACCTTGGGTTTGTTTTGTTTAGATTTACTGAGTCACTTCTGTCTGCCCTTTTAAACAGGTGGGGAGGCCAGAGCTGATATTGCCAAGGTGGAACAGCTTTTAATGCTAGCAGCGTTAAACAATGTTTAAAAAGATTACAGCTATATCTCCAGCTATTAGCAATATTTCAAATTTGAATCAGCTGGTATTTTTGAATTCAAATTAAAGAGTGCATTAAAAAAACTTCCCTCCTCGCAGTTCAGCAAACCAGTTTGACAGCTGGAGACGGCATGTAGACAGACATTAAAGCTGTTTCAGAAAATTCTGACCTGATAAATACCGATAAACCACGAATGTAACACAAACGCAGGAATTTTAAAGGTGTTCCTTGAAAAAAATAGCCATCAGGTCGCAGTTGGAGGTGCAGTTCTTTAGATCTTCCTTCCAGCGGAGGCAATCAGGACGAATAAATGAAACAACTGCTTGGGATGAAGTGCCGAATTACTCCAATCAGGGCCATTTAACCTCTCCACAAGAACACCACTTCTATGATTAAGTAATTTGTTCAGACAGAGTCACCAGCCTACCTACCTTGCCAACCGGGTTTGCACACAGGCTTGACATCGATGCGCACCAGAACACTGTCTGCTGCTCCCTTCTGGCCACAGTCATAGGCTGTCACCATGATGTTGTACTGCTGCTCTTTATCGTAGCTGAGCTTCTCCGTGTTGCGGATGTTACCTAAAACAAATCAAATGCCGTGTGGATTAATTTATACACGTGTATACAAAACACACAGAAAATTAGCCGTTAGATTTAAAAAAAGGCTGAAAATGACTTCTGTGTGATTCAAGGTTACTCCCCAGACCAGATAAAAGGAGTCTTCTCTTGTTTTTGTTTTTTCTCCCCAGTGTGATTTATGTAACAATACTTTAGGGCAGGCTCATCCTATTTTTACCTCATATAAAGGGCACTCAAAGCAAAGACAAAGATCTAAACCTATGTTTTTTTTTTTACATTTTGAGTGAAATGACAAAGTTTAAAGCTTTTACTTAAAGCAAGAAGAATAGGTAGACAAAGAGATATAAAGTAACCTAAAAGCAACAAAGAACATTCATAGTTTGCCATTGCCAGTGGTATCTAATTGTTAATAGAATCAAATAAAAAAAAGAATTCACGAATATGTCCAGACAGGTATTTTAAAGATCAGCGCATGTGCATTAATGCCAAGTTATGATTTTCGATAACATGTGCTATTCAATGTCAATCTCAGAGGCACATTTCCAGTCTTGTGCCCCAGATACAGTAGTGTAGAATTGAACTATTTTTAAATTAAAGTATGGAACCACGTTGTGGGAGAATTCCTAGGTGCTGCGTTTTGGAGCAGATTATCCCACTGTAACGTGCTCAAGGACAGAATAAGACTCTTTTGCCTTTGAATAATCCATACCAAAGGTCCATTCTGGTGTGTGCAGCTCATCTCTTGCTGGGATTCTATCTCCTTCTCACAGGCACATCGCAGACCCAGTCTACAAAAAACTGCTCAAATAGTAGCACCAAAAGTCTGATTCCCACAAAGGAAGAATTACAAACTATATATTTTTTCTGAGAGAATACATTACCCTTACACTAACATGAGTAGTTATACATACTGTAGATTTTCAAGTTTTCTAAACATGTGATTCTATGATCAAATATGTTCAATAGTGCTGTAGACCGAATGGGTAATCTGGAAGGTAACAAATCGTTTTCTACAGAGTGCGAGTCACCACATATCCCCAAAAGACAAAAATGAGATTAGAATTATAGATACAATAATATCAGCTAAAGCAAAGATCTTTATCAATTTGAACAGTTCGTACGACTATGTGCAAAATAAGATGACCATGAGATTATTAATTTATGGTATTTGTTTTTACAATTTCAAACAAATTTAAAGCTGCGGTTCAGATTTTATTCCTTATCACCTTCATTTCTGAGTATAAATGCTGGACATACTGTAGCTCTTCCTACGATTTCCAACACACTTTCCTTTTTTAATTTAAAATTTAAATCTTTGTCACAGGATACAATATTATGCTACAGATGACAACTGTGAAAAGACTGAAATTGCCTTTTCCCCCGAATTGCATGAGACTCACAAGAAGATGGGTTCAAATCAGACTGAGGCAAAAGAGAAATGAGGATGATTTTCCTCTCTCCTTTTAACTTGCAGACGAGGTGTGTCAGAGCTTCTGAAATGTTTATGTACTACTTAGCAGCATGGTTCAGGCTGGATGTGCTGTTGTCTGGCAGTCTTTGATTTTCTGAAACCAGCATCCTTACTTGTCAAACACCTAATCAGTGGGTGTATTCAAATTTAATATTTCTTTTAGAATGGATAACATCTGTGCCAGCAGATAGCTGTGAGATCAACATGCTGCTGAAATTGCATGTGCCGCCTGGAAATGCTCTAGCAAGCATGGATGATAAAGAAGCAAGAGAAGCATAAGCTGAAAGGATTTACTTGACATTGAATTCACACCTCCCCTGTGGTCACCCCACAGCAGCTTCGTTCTTTGGCCAGTCTGCAAATTTTATCTCCATGCTAAACTGCGTGATATGAAATGCCGATTTTTATTTAAAGCTATGAAATTTGCTTAGTGGGGTGCAGAAAGGACTAGTTTGCCTAAATATTTAGGGAACCCCGGGCAACAACACGACTCCTGCATTCATTTGGCACTGCTTAGCAAAAGAGTATTTAAAGAAATTAATGTCTCCCTGGTGCACTTTAAAGCAAGCAGGCCTAAACCCATGCCAACAGGCCTCCGTTATGCCTAAGTAAATGAGAGAAAACAAGAGTGCGCAAAGGAATAGGCAGAAAAATCTGTCAAATTTCATTTGGCTGGAACAAAAAAAGTTCAGATGACACAAGAAAGGCCTTATTTAGGAAGCAAGCAAAGACTTTATTCCCTTCTCTACTAAAGAACAAAGGTCACAATGGCAGACCGCAGTGCACGGAATAAAACACACAAGATACAATCGAATGCTACAGGCCCAGAGACCATGGGGACTAGAGCACTGTGCTTCAGACTTTCATTTTGGAAAAAAATCAATGATATTTATTAAATTTAAAAGGGACACAGAAAATGAAATGAAAACAAACAAGAGCAGCACCTTACCATTGCGGTCGATAGCAAAGGGGATGTCTGGGGTGACAATCTCATAGTTGCAGATCTGACTGTACTGAGGGGAGCAGTCCTCATCTGCTGCCTCCACCTGCAGAACGCTGTCATATATTTTGCCCTCAGTCATAGTGGCCTTGTACATTGGCTCCCTGAAGGTGGGGGCAAACTCATTCACGTCGTTCACTTGGATGTGCACCACAGCCCTAGGAGCAAAAGGGAACACGCATACAGCTTCAGGGGGGTATTGTGTTAACAGCAGCTTTTGTTGGGGGTATAACATTGAGAGCCTACTGCTTATGATTTTATTAAAAGGCAAAAAGGCAATAGAAATCTGACAAGACCTGCATGAAAAAGACCTGATGGTTTTCAAATAGTATGAATGAAGTGGTGTAGTTTTGAGCATTTTTTAATAGTGAACTAGGTTTGCATTTTGCTCAGGTTAAGCGTGTGATACTGCAGATGAGTTATGCACAGAAATGTCTTTTTTCGAATGTCCTGTTAGCCTTCGCTTACTCAGACATATTCCCTCTAGATGCATGAATCGGCAGCCCTCATTTACAGTCTCATCTCTCTCATCATGATGAGACTATTCGGCGAGATCATTCAGCTGTAAATAAGGTTCTGCAAATACTGACAGACGGTGGCACCCTCTTTGCAACAGGGAGCCTGTAAATCATTCAAAAATGCTTGTCTCTTCATATTACAACACACAGCTTTGCAGTTTCCCTTCCCAGCTCCATCTCAACCCCTCTCAGAGATTCAGAAAGTGACATATGCTACGTGCTGGGTTTCAGTGACTGGACCCTCCACTCAGAGAAAGCCCCAGCTTGAGTCATAAGACTCTTAAGACGCACACATCTTGAGAAAATGGGAATATCATCTCCTGAGGTAGAATCAATAACACTAATTAACGGGCATTGACCATTAGAAAGCAGTTGCACTGTTGCTCCTAAGGCGGTTCTGTGCATAGAATGGCTCTGCCTGTGTAGACCGTGTTTAAAAACCTCTTCTCCAGTTTATGCTATTAGATTGCTTTATCTACAGTATATATCTATGAACATTTAATATTTTCCTGTGTTCAGTTTTTAACACTCACATCTCGTGTTTTCTTTATGATTAGGATTTTTTTCCCTCTAAAAATCTACTTTGAATGTTTAAACACAATTCAATGGGCTCCCTTATCGTTTTTTTTTCTCCTATGAGATAAGTAGAGAGCAAAACAATACATTCCCCATTATGTACACTGAATTGTTCATTAGGATTTAGAATGTGTGCTTCATACTGAGAAAATTACCTAGACTAACCAGTAAATAAATAATAAATCTTTCATTCAAAGTCAATTTTACATAGAACAAAAGTCTAAAGGCAGCCAGACTCTTTACCTTTAAAGTAAAGGTTTTATTTTCTTCACAATAGTTCCCTCCCTCAGTCCTCAGAAAATGACATATAATAACAATAATAGCTTTTTCACAGTGGCAGTGGTTTTCTGTTATGTGCATTCATTACAGGTGAAATACAGGTCAGGTGGCCTTGGGATGCCACTGTGGTGATTCTCGTCGACTACTTGATGAGTATCTTTATTAAGAACGTTCAAAATGCTTGTCTTTTAAAAACACTGAATCTTTGGATAAGTCCCATTGAAATGTCATTTTCTGCACTTCATTACCAGCCATTTATAGTAAAAGAGCACTGAAATATTGTGCCTTAATTTGTATTTACCTTGCTCTTGTGGATGTCTTTTTAACATTTCCCTAAGTATAAAACATGACATTAAATCTCATTAGTACAAATCAGTTTATTTAGTGTAAGATATAGGAGAGCAATACAATCTTTCGTTTTCGGAAACTTGTAGTGGCACACTGCCCGTCAAGGTGGCATCTACCACCTTTATAAATGCATTTGACAAAAATTTCTTATTCTGAACTTTGACAAATATACCATATGTTGCCTTTGCAGAAAGACATCCGGGTTGAACTGACTAAATAAACTTGGTGTGTATACAGGTTGATGCTCACTCACACAGTATCAGAAAAGAGAAGTCCCGTTATGGTGTAAAAATCTGGGTGTTCTGAAGAGTGAAGTCAGTTTTTACTCTGTCAGTGTTGATCCTGTCGCATCAGATCTCCGAAAGGCAATTTCCTTGACTGCTTTTATACTTGGGGCCTATATGTCAAGAGTAATTTGGACTATGCTGTAAGCACAGATTTGTATTTGAAAACTTGTCCCTGAAGTTAGTACTGTAGCTCCAATGAAGTAAATGTAACACTTGAGCACAGTGACTGTCCCCTGCCTTAAGGACATGAGTGAAGTAGGTCAACCACTGTGCACATTTTCAGCCAAATAAAGGCTTACCATGCAATACATTGACAAGCAAGATATTGATATTGGCTTTCTGAATAAAGAAGAACAGTAATTCACATCTTTCTCCTTCAGAATAAATGAATACAGTAATTGTCCACAGAACAAATGCACAAGAACAGAAAGAGCTATACTGTGGCATGAGTTCAAATGAACTGTTCCTAGTCTATGTTTGTTTTATGAAATAATAACTCACATTTACTATGATTCACTAAGTCTTGATTGTTCTTTCTGTATTTCAGAGTGGCCTGTCATGACAAAATGTACCAAAACACAAAAAACTCAATTCAAACTGCAAATTCACTTAAAAGGGGGGACAGGACTGGTGACAGATTTGTCACACTTTGCTGCAGGACTTGACAGGTTTTGATTTCCAATCGCAAAATCAATTTAATCCTGCTCTATTGAAGAAAGATGAGTGCTTTTCAGTGCTACGGTATTTTGTTTTCATTTACTTTTAATAGGTATGTAATGTACAAAAACCCCTCAACCTGAACAGCTGCTCAGAGTAAATACACGCTGCTGTCACTCACTTGTGTGACTTCTTCCAGTTTGTTCCGCTAGGCCCGGCTCCGCAGTCATACGCCTGAATGATGAATGTATACTCCTTTTGAAGTTCACAGTCAATTGGACTCTTCGCTCGGAGAAGACCCTCACCAGATGTCTTATTCAGCACCACGGCTTCAAAAGGTGCATCCTGCCCATGAATTTTAAAAGCGCAAATTTCACCTAAAGGAGCAGGAAAAGAGAGATTTTGTATTTTCAGTCAGGAGGCCTCAGATGTCCTTGGAAAACAGTGAGGAGTTGATCAGATATGCTTTGTAAATCTTAAATAATGCACAACCTAAAGATGCCATGAGAAGAACAGGCTTATGCTTTCTGAATACACAAACAAAACAATGTTACTTGGTTTATAATTTATATAAATTGATTCTCTAATGGAAATAAGACTTTTCTTCAAGGATTTCCTTTGAACTGTCACTTTCTATGGCATGTGGAATTCGGCTGCCAGACCCCTTCTGCCACTGTGTTCAGCTGGAAACCTTGTAACAAACCTACACTAGGTTAGTACACATTTCCTTTAACTAACTTATTCACTTACTGTACATTTAGCGTTATTAGTGACCTGCCATTAAATCACAGGGCTTCTATTTTTCCTTCTACGAGCTATTTCACATCAAGATTCCTGTATTAACCTTCTCACAGGATTCATGAATACATTTTATCCAGAGTGACTTACATTTGTACCTATTTAGAAAGCTGCAAATTTTACTTTGAGCTAAATGCCTTGAAGATTTTACTTTGAAAATTTAGAAGCAGTGTTTTTCCTTGCATTAAATTATAATACCCAAAACAGCAATCCGCGTACAGTACCATCAAAGGAATAATACGGAAGTGCAGACAGGCCCTTGACAACCCTCCCATTCAACCATCAAACTATTCATCTCTTTCACACTTTCCAAAGTCATGGGAGTTTCGTTAACAGCTCTAGCCAGATTTTGGGGAATCATGTTCTCAACCAGCTAGTGATATGACAAAAACACAGACCTGTAGTATCTGGATCACAGAGCCCAGCATGTGCTCAGAACAATTCCTTGAGAACAACTTGAGCCATTTGGGAGCCCTAAATTATTTTTAGGAACTTTATTAATCCAAGCAAGGTTTCAGTGTAATCAGTGGCAGATTCTAATGTACCTCACAGTTAGCAACAAGCTATTGTGTAGATTTTATGGGTCAAGGTCACTTGTATCTAACCAAGAGTCAGTAAACTCATTTAAACACATCTTGTTAACAGAATATGTTCCGCCATATTCCAACTGCTTTAGCTGTAAACATTTTCTCACTTATCTTAAGTCCATTAATTTGTTAACTGTAAAAAACAAACACAACAAAATGAATCAAAGTCACTTTAAGAAAGTTTACAATATTAGCACTTATGAAAATTAATGAGGAGAATGTCTCTCATTATCTTAAGGCATATCACAAGCAGTAGAGTTGTCTAATTATACTGTATGTGAGCCTTAAAATTAGCTTGTAATGCAACATTTAAGATTTTAGAAATCACTATGTAACTTTTGACCCATGGTAACTAATTGCACTGATATCATTAAAAACAAGAACAATAATTAAATTTCTTTCTGGCAAGGCTTTGTTGGCTCTAAACTCCTGGCAAATGCTGACAAGATAACTGATTTTCATTTTGACCCCATCACCCTCTTCCTGAAATGTTAAAACAATAATTTGACCTCCACAAATAGTGGAGGATACATGGCAGTTAAGATGGAGTTCAGGCTTCTGTTTCAATTTACTCTAAATGTTAGCCTTATCAAAAATAATGGCCAATACAATAGTGAAAGTAAAGAATAGTATATGAAAAATATGAATAGGCCTGCCAGTGTGTGGCACAACAGTTAAGGTTGGTAAGGAAGGATATAAATTTTGATGTCAGGAGACACGTTCAACGTATTTAAATGTTGTGAAAGGAAAAAAAATCAATATGAAAAATGAATATGTGTTATGGAGTGAATCCAGGATAAATATTCTTGTAAGAATAACGAAAAAATTGTCTTTGTGCTTGATATTTTAGTATACAAACCTCATTACAGATAAACACAGTTGAATTCAGTATTTTCTTTAATCTAAGGGAAAAAGAACAACTATAACAAAAGAAAAAACATGAATTCATGCCCGTGCAAAACAAATAACATCATTTAACAGCTCCTTACACAGCTCAAACTTCAAGCTGAACTGGTGAGGGTTTGCTGGATATGACAGTATGTTCAAATTATGACATTACATCATCCATTTCACCCTTCATTAGACAGCAATGTCTGCCATTCTGGAGAAAACAATGAGCAGAATGCTCGAACAGCAACATTCACCCTTCCATTCTCTACAAAGGTGATTGACAACAGTAAGAACAGTAGTCTTTGAAACACATTTGAGGGCTCCCAATAAACTGAACTATTAAGAAAGGTTCGGAACCAAAGATGTCAGATCCAAAGATGTCAAGCAGCTATTTTAAGACAGTATCTGCTTCAAAACATGGTTGGGTATTTGGTTCCAGACTCCCACAGCAAAGTGTGAAAAAGTGCCCCTTGTTATCAGTTTCTAAACGCACTTTCAATTGTCCCCTCTAGCCTGTGTTTAATCGTTAATTCTAAACAATTCCGATGGGTTAACTTTGTTAATGCCCCTTGAGAAAAGGTACACTCTTGGAGCACAAGTTGAGTCCTATGGCCTAAATGTCTCGAGTCCAAAACTGCGCCACGTCACTTGCTGACTGTGCACGGAATCTCCAAGAGACAGTGTACAACTAGATGAGAAACTCGGGGGTAGATGTAGGAACTGCTGGCCACTCTTGAGACTTGCCAGACTCAGGTGTCTGCAGGCTTACAGTGATGCCAGTGACACATACAGTATGTCACTCCTCCATTTGATGCTAAACCTCCTGTCAGGTACCATAGGGAATCTAGCATGTTAAATTATGACTGGCTCTGTGGGTGGGCATGTCAAAGAGCACATAAGGAAATTATTGTTGTCGAACCAAGTGTTATATAAGCAAAAGTATATACGTCTATAAGCTCATATAAGTAAGTATCTAAGAAAATATTAGCCTTATGAATCAACCTCTGCTGTGTAAAAACATCCCAACTTAAAAACAGCTGACCTTTAAACTTAACTCCCCCAACCCCTGCTGTTTCTATGATCCTGAAACAGAAACTGAAAACACATGGTACAAGTACAAACTACACAAACATTAGTCAAGATAGTTGTATGAAAAGAAAAGCTATAGTTCTGAAAAAGAAAGCCATAGCATCTCACGTGGAAAATGATATTGTTGAGAAAATTAAGAATTTTGCCAAGTTGTGTATTTGGAAATTTCCATTGTGCTGGTAAAATTCATATCAGGTTGGGAAAGGTTAATGTCTGGCATTGTCAAAGCAATCATCCAAAAATGATCCTATAAAGTACTGGTATTGTACTCTTTGCCTGTCATCTGTAAATCAGGATCCAGATCAATACAGAGTGGGCATGAACTGTTACACCAAACACTTTTCCTGTAAAGCCTGTTTAAAATTGTACAGTATGCCTAGCTTTAGTGACTTGAAAGCAACCCAAATGCCTTGAAGGAGCAAATTCTTCACAGTGCCATCTTTTTGGCTCACAATAAAAGGGATTTCAGGATAAATCTTGCTCTAAATGCTGACATTACTTACAAATACCAAAACTACAATGCTTTACTAAAAGGATAATCATGGATCAATGAGAGCTCCCTTTCCAGCGGAAGTGAAGATGTCAATGACATGACATTGCTACCTCACGGCTAAGGAACTTTGTGAATGTACTGTACACAGCCCATTAATCTTACTTTGTAGTTTAGGATCACAAAGTAGACACAGAAAGCTACGTTCACGTCCTGATATTAAACATTGGCATTGTCAGCCTGCCAACACAGTTCACTCAGGGCAGTGTTAAGAAATTCCCTTCCTTTATATGCCATTAAATAAGCTCCTGCCCACCAGCCTCTGGACTCAAACTGTTTCAGATAAGTTTTAATATATAGTCCATTATACATTTATTTACAGTATGTCATGCATTCTTGTATTTACTGTTTTCGACCAGAACTACACAATTATGGCAAAAAAACAACATTAATGCAAAAAATGAGAGTAATAGATAGTGAACTGAAGGTTTTGGATTACTTTAAAAGGAAAGGCTGAAGGGTTTTTGTATGAAAATAAAAAAAAAATATATGAATAACGTTAAAGAACTCAAAGTCCACAGTCAACCATTTCACTTGTATTCTGCAAAACCAGCTTCTCTTGGATCTTTAGTAAATCTAGTGTGGCCTATGGAGAAACACCAAAAACTATGACGTGCCATTAAAAAAGAAAATAGGGACAAAACAAAACAATATAATTACAACTCTGCAAAAACGTCCTTCTAGTCTGTCTAGTTCTGAGACAAATATTAACCCCTATAAATTGTATCGCAGTTTAATTTTTAATTAAAAAGGCACATCCTCCACCGAAAGAGCAAAGACACAGGCAGAATTCGTTTTATCTTCCAGTTGTACTTCCAGTAGCCCTCTTAATTACCTGCCAAGATTTTCTTTTCACTTCTTGAAGTTGAACTACTGTGACACTTTTCAGCTTGTCATCTAGGTTAGCGGCACTGTTCTATCCCTACGTAAAAAGCACTTGACAAGACTCTAGGAGAGTGGGGGATCTGGTGGTAGCTGTGATTGGTGCAGGGGTACTGACAGATACTTAATTCACTGAAATGACAGAACACGGCCACGCTTGGTTACCATTCCTGATGGGGGTTAATGCTTTCAAAGCAAAAGGTTCCTGAAGAAAAGCTTAGGTGAGTTGTTGCAACACAGGCCTGTGTAGGCTTTCTATGCTCAAATGACAAAGATAGAAAAGTCAATATGGCTTGATGAATTATGAAGACTTCTGAAGACTAGACAGAAATGTCCATACATAGTACCTGGGGAGTCAGACCAACTGCTCTGGACTGTAAGAAAATGTCTATAAGATGGCTGATAAACTGCAATGATCACAATGAGCCCCAAATGAGCTTCACTGAGCTATAATGATTGCAGAGACCAAGACTACATGTCTATACAGGATCCAATAAGATCAATGGATTGCTAATGCCCAGAAGGGTTTTCTGCCATGACTAGGGCATAAATGTCACTACTACATTAGAAGAGTCACTGA